TCATATTGTGTAAAACTATGGAAGGAGTTTTAGCTAATCATCTAACTTCGACTGTCGCCTCTAGGTTAGTTTCACTTCAGTTTGCATATAAGAGTAACAGAGGTACAGATGATACTCTACTACTGACACTGCTAATGCATCCCAAAGCAAATGTCAGGGTTTTATTTGTGGATTTTAGCTAGGGCTGGGTATTTTTTAGGTACCGACCGAATTGCCTCGAGTATCGAAACATGTCTTGTTTTTCGGTACGAAATTTCGATACCCAAGTGGTTAATCTCGTCAACGTCACTGAAACTATAAGCATGCAGCATGATTGGCCGTGGCTGAAAACACTAGTTTACGCGGCTGCCGAGACCTTGCTCGTTGCACATGAGGCTGTAGTGTGTGTCTGTGTGTAAGCATCCCAATCCAGATAGATAGAAAATATGTGGAAATGATCCAAAGTGTACCTAGGTGCCAGACTCGATGCTAGAAGCACGCAATGCAATATTTTCAACAAAATAATTGCCGCGAAGACCGGTAACATGGTAAATCTGATGAGCGCAACGACACTTGAGAGTAGAAAGTTTATCCGCCTTCGACTGCAGGAACTGGAGCATGTCACAAATGAACCGAAACTCAGCATATAGGATACTTGCCTCATAGACATGAGAAATAGGCCTATAGACTAGGGATGTCCCGATCCGATCCACGGCATCGGTATCGCGCCGATACCGGCCCAGAACGCTAGATCGGAGATCGGAGGGGAGAAAAAAATATGAGCGATATCCAGTTTAGCGGTGCAGCCTGTCACGTGATGATTGTTGTGTTTAAGCACACGCGCGCAGAGAATCACTCTCGCTTTTGCGCACGGATTCTAATGTAATCGGATGATTCCACCCACAAAAGCTGCATTTCAGTCTTTTCAGAAATTCATTGGCTATCAGAAAATAGCGTCATTTCATTCTCTATTGCAACTGGATAGATAAACTGTCACTCAAAGAGAGAGCGAAACTGGCGCGCGTAATTGTGACGCGCGTCAGAATCAAAATCCGTTGGCGGTCATTGTTTTTATGTCGACCGAGCATTCATCAAGAGAGTTACCGCTCTGTATTTACTCTGGATAGCAGAACAGCGGCGTGGGGATCATCGTCGCCGTATATTTGTGTCCACCGGACCCTTCGGAGCCGAACCGTTTGGCGAGTTTCACCATTTGCTCGCTCCAGGAGCTGCGCTGGATGACGGCCGCTGTCAGCGGTACTTCCGCCTGTCACGCGCCCAGTTTGATGACCTGTTGTCCCGCATCTGAGCGAGGATCACCCTCGCCCGGCCCCTCATCCATCTAATCTAGCTGTCATTTATTTTTGTTTTGATAATAAATAGAGCCAGCCTTCAAAAGTTATTAACCTGTCCTGTGATTTTTTTCTCTCTCTCACGTCCAGACACGAATTTATGCACATATGTTGATATATATATATATATATATATATATATATATATATATATATATATAGCGCGCTATGTATGTTATGCGCGCAGTATGTCTCGCTCTAGATTCCGGGAGATTTGAACTAATTTGCGGGCATCAGGGAGACGCTATCAATATGCGGGAGACTCCCGGAACTTCCGGGAGACTTGGGATGTCTGTCTTTACAACATAATACTATTTCTAGATATGGAATGAATAACATTCAATACAAAATGAACATGTCTCCATATAGAAATAATGTTTTAAGTGATGAAACATTTGCTTTGTTGTGCATAATCCCACCATGCATTTAGTCATATTAACAAAATAATTTATTGAAGCATCCAGACACTTCACCACGTGAGCAAGCAGCTAGGCTCCTGATTGGTTAACGCGGCGCGTCAAACGCGTGAATGCACAACGCTCAATTCGCGCCATTCGCGCCAACTTGACGCGCGAATGAGGCGTATTCGCGTCTTCCGCGCCGCGCTCCACGCCTCATTCGCGCCGCAGGAATTTTTCTTGCATTGACTTAACATTGAAATCATTCGCGCCTGACGCCCTATTCGCGTCCGGTGTGAACGTAGCATTAGTGCGTCGAAGTTGTGATAGCGCTGTCGGCTAACGCGAAATGCTACTATTTACATTCCATGGATGTTTATTCATATATACAATTGTTTTGGACTAAAAACTTCTTCAAATTGGATTGTATGGACGCTTTACAGTGAAACCAAACCATTTTTGTTGGAATGTGGACTAACAGATGGCTAATTGGTGAGTTTCTTCCAGTTTGTGTTGGTTTGTTTTGGCTGTTGGTGGTCTGACAAAAAAAACAGGTTGTGCCCGCTGTGTTGATTGTATCTTAAAATGGTTTACGTCGTTCGAATCACGAGTTTCTCAGCTTTCCAAAGATATATATTATGTTTACTTTTGTGTTTGTTTTGTTTTGTCTTTCACAAAGTTAAACCTATAAACCACCATGTGGGCCGTATAAGGCACGTCGGACCACGAAAAAAAAAATATCGGACTAATATCGGTATCGGCAAAAGCCAAAGGTGCGGCATCGGTATCGGTATCGGAAGTGAAAAAGTGGTATCGGGACATCCCTACTATAGACGGTCAAAATATGTCTACTTTTAAACGAAAACAATTAGAAATAAATAGTTTGATTACCTAATCCATATAGACCATTTTACAAGATGTAAACAACACTGGTCCAGAAGCACTTCCTGTTTCAGTTTGTAACTGTTTTCTTTATTTCACATGTAAAGAAAACATCTTAAAGATGTTTGTTTAACTTTTTGATTCAGTTTTAAATGTTCTGTTGGTTGTATTTTATCCCAGCTTTTATGTAGTGTTAAAAAACTGAAACAGGAAGTGCTTCTGGACCAGTGTTGTTTACATCTTGTGAAATGGTCTATAGGCGCACGCATTCACTGCTGCAGGAATGACGAGTCAGCATCGCCATAATCATATTTGCAGCCAGCACAATTATTAAACACTTGTTCATTAATAAACAATTAAAATATATCCTTGCTATTGTTTCCCGACACATCCATAATCATTAGGCTACTGTTGCCAGTGCTTTGCAGCAAGCTTTATCCCGCCCCCCAGTAGCCTATATTTAATTTAATTCACATTTATTTGTATTTATTTTATATGCATTTATTTTATATGCATTTTTCACAATACATATCGTTTCAAAGCAGGTTTGCGGAAAATGCATAAATTACAATTTAGACTGATCTGTTATCAGAGGTGACAGTGTAATGCATTTCAATTAATTTTTATTCAGTTTCATTGTTAATCAATGCATTAAGATAAGGCATAAACAATGAGCTCAATGAAGTAAAGAATACATGTTGTTATATGGTTAGGAAACAGAAAACTTTAGCATTGGTGCTTTTGTACATACTTAAAAAATGAGTGTGAAAAAGTCAACAACTGAAAAATAAAATAAAAATTAAGGTAGTATTATAATGTTATAACTGGTTACATAAAATTGGTATCGAAAAAAGGATCGTTCAGGAACCGGTATCGAAGTCAAGGTATCGTTATTGAACATTTTGTTACGATACCCAGCCCTAATTTTAGCTCAGCTTATAATTCAATGGAAATTCATATTCTCCCAACAAGACTGGTTGATCTGGATGTTCATTCAGGTTTAGTACGCTGGATTAGAAATGTTCTTTCACAGAGGGTCTGTGTTCAAGAGACTGTGTCTGATGTGCTAACTTTAAGTACAGGTTGCCCACAAGGCTGTGTCCTTTCCCCTGTGCTCTTCTCTCTCTTTACTAATAATTTTACGATTAAAGAAGAACAATTTAGATCATTGTTCAAATACGCTGATGATATGGCCTTAGTGGGCCTATTGGACAAAACTAATTTGGGCTCACATTAAGGCCCTGGAGAATTGGTGTCATCTTAGCCAATTATAAATTAACGTGGCAAAGACAAAATAATTAATTATCTGCCAAAAGTAGATATGTCAATTCAGCCAATTTCACTTGTGGGTCAACAAGTTGAAATTGTGGAGAAGTTTAAATATCTAGGCTCAATCCTTGATTCACACACAAACTTTGCTGATAATTTAGACTACATTTTTAAAAAGTGTTTGCAACGTTTATTTCTTCTTGGACAATTTAGTGGCCTTGGAGTTAAGTCAGCATATTTTACAACTTGTATACAAATCCATGGTAGAGAGTAGGGGTGTAACGGTACATGTATTCGTATTGAACCGTTTCGGTTCGAGGCTTCCGGTTCGGTACGCATACAAACCGAACGATTGCTTGGACCATTTTTCCTGCCGGCAAAATTCGTGCTGACGCGGCCAACACAACGTTGCGCAACATCAAATGGCAAGCGTAATGAAAGCAGAACGAAACTGCGCTACTCGTGCTTCATGGATCGTTTATCAGTTCGGACCAGCAACATCTGTGCAGCGCGAGCCGATCTCGATCAAGCAACACTGTTACTACACACCGCTAAGAGATCAGGTAAAGAAAACATTTGAATTCGCCACTGAGGTAATAACATCGCTGCGAGATCTAGTGAGAAGCATTCACATTTCTCCGTTATTAACCGTAGATCTCTATTAGATCAAACAGCGCTGTCATGGAAACCAGGAGAAACATTGTGCCGTGAATGAACTAGTAATACTTTCGTCCACAGACCAGCTACATTCACCATGGATTTAATATAGTAACACTAACTGGAACCAGTTTGGCTGGAATGGTGAAATGCTTTCAAGTACTTCACACATCTTTTTCCAGCACTTCAAAATTCAAATATTATATAAATAAATATATATTTAAATGTTAATTTTAATGTGATGACCAAAACATTTTTTGTTCATCCTTCAAAGATGAACCCCATTTATAAACCTGAAAGTTTCAAGATCTAGGAAAACTCACACTTATTTAAAAATATTTTTTCTTTAAACAAATAGGACATTTCTCTGGCATTTCTTTCTTTTTGCTGTATTGAAAACGTACCGAACCGTGACTTTAAAACCGAGGTACGTACCTGTTAGAAATGAAAGACTTCCAACAAGTGCCTTTTCCTCCACGTCCTTTTATTGAGTTGTGAACAGACCATACAGAATCAAAATCACCAGCGCTGGGGGAGCCAGAAAAGATAGCTCAGCCTCCCCATATGTGACATGCAAATATATATGAAAATATCAAGGGGAGTTATCTGGTCTTATCCAATAGAATTATATATGACCTCATGCCATATCATATATACGTTGTATAACATTTATATAATAACTCCGAATATGGTCAATATCCGTTGAAAATACCCTCAGAACCTAGGGATCCTAGAAGACTTTCTATATGTAACAAAAGAAAGAAGAACAGAAAGGGGAGAGGGAGAAACTCTCCAGATGTTTGAACTTACACACATACATACAGAGGAATGTGCAAGCAAAGCATAAACTCTTCATAGAGCCTTTATACTCTTTGGCCTAATGGACATAGCTGAGACTAAAAAGACTTATATTTCTGACAATGGCCCCTTTGATAATGACAGTTATCATATAACAGAATTATCATATCACATGATCAGCATGTCCATTATTACAGAATAATACACGAAAAAAACCTTCAATCAAACATTTCCTTCAAATCATTAATACTTGATAGTTCTATTCGCTAGAGAATATTGAGAGGATACGAAAGTATTCATAGCACGATAAATCAACATCCTAATAAATCGGATAATACAGCATCCAACCAAGTTTCATTACCACTGCTTATAAGCGCTTGTGTGTAAATTAGCAGATTTTTTAGCACAATCAGGTATAAAAGCGACTGTGCAAACATGACTTGATGGACTCAATGATACTTATTGCTAACTTCAATCAGCAATCTCGTTTTTCTTTTTTTTCTTTTTTCGTCTACTTCTCTTCCTCGTTCTCCTTTCGATAAGTGCTGGATATCCACCTCCGCATAGGCTTATGCGCTCCCTGGGGACGGGGCTGCCTTCACTCTGCTAGCATGGATCCACTGCGGCTGGAGGTCAGTCAGAACACCGGTCCTTGTCACAGCGATCACAGTGGCAGGCCCAAGATAATTCGCTTCCCCAAGCTTCGTGGGTTTTAGACACTTCACCAACACCGACTGTCCTGGAACAAAGGGATGAGTTGGCTTTTCTGAGGGAAGAGGGAGAGAGAGAGAAACATCACCATTTATGCCATTTAACGTTCTAACAAGGGAATCCACATAATCTGCGATGATCACCTCCGTGTCACCTGTGGAAAGATTGCCAGCGCGACCTCTGACCCAAGGGGTCGGGAAAGGTCTACCCATGAGAATTTCAAATGGAGACATTTTTGTAGTGGCTGACGGAGACATTCTTATTTCCGTCAGTACGGCAGGCAACAAATCAACCCAATTTCTTCCCGTATCTAGACACGCTTTATTTAGACGTTCTTTTATCGTTTTATTAAGTCGTTCGGCGTTCGAACAAGATTCCGGATGGTACGGGATATGGAAATGCCAATTAATTTTCAGCTCTTTAGCTAATAATTGTGTAACTTTAGAAGTGAACGGAGTTCCATTGTCGCTTGCTATCACGGTCGGAATACCGAAGCGCGGTATAATTTCTTTTGCAAGAATCTTTACTACTGTCTTCGCGTCTTCTTTTCCACATGGAAAAGCTTCAGGCCACTTAGTAAATCGATCAATAATCACGAGCAAATACTTGTGATTTCCACATGGAGGCATGTGTGTAAAATCAATCTGTAAATATTGGAACGGAAGTTCTGGATGCGGTAAAGCATCATGGCGGATTGCCTTGTGCCAGTTGGTTTGAGCACACACTAGACAAGCATCCAATATCAACAAAGTATTTCTTCGAACATTGGCTATGCAGTATGATCGATTCAAATTTTGTATCACTTTCTCTTTCGACACATGTGATACACCATGATAATGTCTGCACAGCATTACAACTGTGGATGCTGGTAGTGCGATTCTACCTTGCTTATCTCTTAAAATACCAGCTTGATCTGGTTTCACTTCATTGGCTGCCCAATGAGTCAAATCCTCTTGAGTAGGATTTGCTTGCAGTATTTTAACATCCAAATCATTAATCAACGACGAATTCATCATCGGCACTTCATTGCTTTGTTCACTTACATGTGGACTACATATTGCTTCTTTTGCTGCCCATTTTGCTACTTCATCTGCAAATCTGTTTCCTTTGGCTTCATCAGATTCACCTGTTTTATGACCAGCTACTTTAATAACTGCAAGCTTCAATGGTTGCTGTGCTGCACTAATCAGTTCAGCCACAACATTATGATGCGAAATTGGTTTTCCGTCGGAGGTTTTGAAGTTTCTTTCCTCCCATAATTTAGCAAAATCATGAACTACACCGTACGCATATTTGGAGTCAGTGTATATATTGATGCACTGACCTTTAGCCAATTGACAAGCTCTTGTTAATGCAATCAGTTCTGCAACTTGTGCTGATTTATATGGCAGTGAATGCGCTTCAATTACTTTATCAGGTAATTCAACAATAGCGTAACCACACAAATATGTACTGTCATTTGGCTTAAAGCAGGATCCATCAATATACCAATGCTTTCCCTCCTCCAGGACAGACGTAGAAACGTCTGGCCTGCAGGCAGTAGAAGTTTGGATCCTGGTCAGGCAGTCATGGTCGTCACTCTCGAATTCACCTTGCGTCAGCAATCTGTGCAAATGTACAGTAGGGCCATGAAGAACAGAAGTTACTTTCAACGTTAAATTAGCAGTTGCTAACAAAATAGCCTCATAGCCTGAACGGCGTTGGGCAGTCATGTGTTGAGTAGAAATGTTATGCATGATGGCTCCTACCTGATGAGAGACATGCACAATGAGTGGATGCGATAAAACAACTTTTTCAGCATCTTGTATCATGACAGCTGTGGCGGCCACTGCACGCAAACAGGCTGGGAGTCCCCTGGCTACTGAATCCAGGGTCTTAGATAAATAAGCTACTGGACGGAAAGTGCCCCCATGCTCTTGGGCCAGGATTGCAGCGGCTGTGCCTCCGTTTTCGTACACGTACAAATGAAAGTCTTGGGTGTAACAAGGTAGGCCGAGGGCAGGCGGCCTTAAGAGTGAGGATTTCAAATGTCTGAATGCTTGATTCATCTCACTTGTCCATGTAATGTCCTCCATGTCACCCAGCGTAGCTTCACGCAGGATTTTGTCATACTTGGAACAGTTAGGCACCCACAGGCGACAGTAATTGACCAGTCCCAGAAAGCTTTGCATTTGCTTCCGTGTGGATGGATGCTTGAATGTAGCAATGGCTTTGATCCTGTCCTCAGACAGACGAACTTTGCCTTGTGACAGTTCATGTCCGAGGTAAGTGACCTTCCTCTGCACCCATTGAAGTTTCTCTTTAGATGCCTTGAATCCAGCTTCAGCTAGAATGTTGCACACAATCTTTGAGGCAGCAGCACACATGTCCTCAGAGGCACCAGTGACCAGAATGTCATCAGCATATTGGAGCAAGCAGGTGTCTGGTGGGAGTTTGACATCTTTCAGTGTATCGTGCACTACTGAGGAGAAGACAGCCGGAGAATCTCTGAACCCTTGAGGGAGTCTCGTCCACGTGTATTGACAATTCTGAAAACAAAATGCAAACAATGGCTGAGTGTCACGATCAACAGGAATGCTGAAAAAGGCTGAGCTTAAATCAATAACAGAATAAAATGTATGTGCTGAAGGAATTGAATTTATTATATTCTGCACATCTGGCACAATCGGAGCAAGTGGTTTTATCAAATCATTAATTTTACTCAAATCTTGTGTTAAACGCCAAGAACCATTTGCTTTCTTAATTGGATTGATTGGTGTGTTATAAGGTGAATGAGTTCGGATCAGAATGCCTTGACTCAGGAATTGTTCAATGAGGGGTGAAATTCCCTCCTCTTTTTCCTTTGAAAGTGGGTATTGTTTTTGAAACACAGGCCTAGTGGTTATCAAATTCGCCCTATAGGGCTGAACATTTATTAACCCTACGTCATCTTTGTGTTTCGCCCACAATTGAGGGTTGACACCCGAAATTTCCGGTGTCAGCACAGTTGCAGATGAATCCTCAACAAGAGCACTTCCTGTATCGGTCGTAATGGAGAAAACTGCGGGAAACAGAAGTGTCAGAGAGTTAGATTCAAATTCCAATTTCATACCTAGCTTATGCATCAAGTCTCTACCTAATAGACAGAATGGTGAATTCGGTATGATTGCAAAAGCATGCATTTTAAACAATGACGGCACGTCATTACTGGTAATCGGTAAAGATGGTGTCAAATCGCATTTCACAGGAACATTATTTATGCCCACAGAATTAATTTTCTTTCCTGTGACGGAGCCTGAGTACACATTTGAACTTAGGGAGGAGACAGAGGCACCACTGTCAATCAGAAAGACATATGGTTTATGGTCAACTTTCAATTCAAGAAATGGCAAAACATGTGATTTATTTGGATATTGAATCGAAAGTAGTGAAAACTCAGACTCTTGATTCTGCGGGCCCCTTCATGCACGTTTCCATTCAGTCTGATACACAGGCTGTTGCTTCTGACTTGGAGAGAACGAAGGTTGGGGCCTTGGCCTATAGCCATCAGAGCGTCGACGCATCTGGTTCCTATTGGCCTGCTTCATTTCCAACTTCTGCCTGCAAAACTTGGCCACATGCCCTGTGCTGCCACAGCAGAAACATGTTAGAGGTTTTGGTCTATAATCGACCGGACGGTTCGGAGCTGAGGCATCAACCTGCAACATTATCGGAGTCTTACCTCGGGAGGAGACAAAGGCTCCTGCAGAGGAAAGCTCACGCAAACGTTTGCCAAGGTCATCAATTGACATAGTTAAAAAGTTATTCGTGGTGATTCTAATTAATTGAGCAGTCTCGTCATGCATATTGTTCAGAAACGTGTTCACAAACAACTGACAATTATCATCATCAACAGGGATGGCAGATTCTTCAATCCAAGCACGTTTAAATCTGTTAAAGAAAGCTACTGGACTCTCACCAGCTTTTTGTTTTGTATTAGCTGCATGGGAGATGTCCTGTTTAGCAGATGACAACTTCATTAAGAATGTTGTTAATTGTTTAAAAAAAGTTGAAGTTTACCTGCATTGGCCCACACCCAATCAACATCGTAATCATCGTAATCATCCATCACGCGAACTCCACGAAAAGATCGCGACAAATCAACAGGTTCTGAATCTCTGATCAGAATACTACGGGCCGGTGGCGCGTCATGTATTGGACGTAACAGATCAATTTCTTCTATTAATTCTTCCTCAGTAATTTCAGCCGGGAGTGTTTTAGTTAATATGAAACGATAATCCCGCCCTGTCAATTGACTGTAAGCTGTCAGTCGCTTCAAAACTGAAACATACTGATGCGGAGTTTTAGTCGGATCTGGAAGTTCTTTGCAAATAGCTACAACGTCGGCAAGAGGCAACGGATGCACTTTAAAGCCGTCTGAAGTTTCCACGAAAGGAAACGTAGTCGCAGCCTTTAAATCAGGATACAGTTTATTTCTCACAGGCGTCTCACAAACTGCTGGAGTCTGAATGGACTCATATTTAGGAGGGTGGGGGACGCTTACATCGGCAGTGTGAGAGAAACTTTTTTTTTCTCTCACTCTGTGTGACTGGATTTTGAGCGGTCTGCGTCTCTCTATCAGGCTGCGCACTGAGTGCACCCTGGGAGGGAGAAGATTTTTGATCTTTATTTCTTTCTGCAGTTTTATCTATCTCCGGTCCGCGATTCCAGTATTTTTTCATCGTTTCCCATGTTTTATAGGATCGTTTCATATAATCAAAATCCCAATTTGGATCACCCCAATTTCCAAAAATCATGTCTTTAGCACTTTGCATGTATGCATCTTTGAACGAACCTTCACGAGGAAACGGATCTAGCTGTGTTTTACCAGCTGACCAGCCAGCTAAATTTGATAGATATGGTTCTGTGAAAAATGCTTGATCATTCCGAATCATAAAATCTTTCGGCGTTTCATCAATTAACGGCGGACTTATTTTATTTCCCATTTTAAGCCACACAAAAATTTCTCCTCTAATTCAGAGTTAACAATTTTTTCAAAATAGTCAAATGAAAAAAAAAAACAAAACAAAGGCAAATTGTTAGTACAGATAGGAAACAAAGAGATGGAGGAAAAAATAGAAGGGGGGGGGGGGAATTAGGCCTATGTATAGTCTATTCACAACCTCAAAAAATGAACGGAGTTATTCGAAATATCTCGCGAAGATACTTCCTAAAAAACAGGGGAAAGTGATCAATTTCCTCTGTTCATCCCGTATTTATCAAAACACGAGGTCAAACCCAAAACATCAAAAGAGGTAGCAATTCTCTTTTGTGCTCTTCCCGCGCTTTTTATCAAAAAACGCGAGGAACGACGTCATCCCGCAACGATATGAGGAGAAATCCAATTTAACAAAAAATAGTGAGGGGGATCAGACCTCCTTTTTTTGCTCTTCCCGCATTAATTCAAACACGAGGATAACCATTCTCCCAATCGATTACGAGGATTTTACCAAATATGGTAAAACTTCACGGCACTAAAATTACAACAATAACTTTTTCTCAGCAAACAGTAAGAATCAACTCTCTCCCTTCTTTTTAAAAGAGAAAAAATTAAATTCTTACCGCTTGGAGAAATCCCAGGACCGAGCCCCCAAATTGTTAGAAATGAAAGACTTCCAACAAGTGCCTTTTCCTCCACGTCCTTTTATTGAGTTGTGAACAGACCATACAGAATCAAAATCACCAGCGCTGGGGGAGCCAGAAAAGATAGCTCAGCCTCCCCATATGTGACATGCAAATATATATGAAAATATCAAGGGGAGTTATCTGGTCTTATCCAATAGAATTATATATGACCTCATGCCATATCATATATACGTTGTATAACATTTATATAATAACTCCGAATATGGTCAATATCCGTTGAAAATACCCTCAGAACCTAGGGATCCTAGAAGACTTTCTATATGTAACAAAAGAAAGAAGAACAGAAAGGGGAGAGGGAGAAACTCTCCAGATGTTTGAACTTACACACATACATACAGAGGAATGTGCAAGCAAAGCATAAACTCTTCATAGAGCCTTTATACTCTTTGGCCTAATGGACATAGCTGAGACTAAAAAGACTTATATTTCTGACAGTACCGAACCGTGATTTTTGTGTACCGTTACACCCCTAGTAGAGAGTGTACTAACTTTTCATCTCACAGCCTGGTATGATCCTTTAAATTGCAGATCTAAGAACATACTTGCCAGAATTGTGACAATTGCAAGCAGAATAGTTGGCAGACAACAGAGGCCACTAGTACAGCTCTATGCTGAAAGGGTGAAGGAGGAGGCAAGGTCCATTCTTACAGATAGCTCTCATCCTCTCTTCAGTCAATTTAAGGCGATGAAATTGGATAGACGCTACAGAACCCCTCTAGCAAATAAAAATATGTTTAATAGGTCTTTTATTCCAAATACTGTTAAAATTCTCAACTCGATAAGCAAATGATAATCCAAATGACTACAATATGACTACAGTGATTATTATGTATTTATTTATTTATTTTTTCTCGGGATGCTCCGATACCATCTTTTCCGGAACCGATCCAATCTGATACCAAAAATTCTGAGTATCGACTGATACCGATCCGATGCCAGTGCAGCTTTTTTTATATCAAGTAGAATTTCTATAACTCTGTGTGTTGACTAATCACTCTTTTGTGTGTTAAACACAATCTACTTAATACAGAAAACTTCATTATAAAGATAAACAAATCCAAAAACTATCATTATCTATGACAAAATGCTGTTTTAATTGTTTACTTTTGTATTGTTGTAAAATGCATTAATGAAAAAAACAAGATAACAAAAATCAAAAAGATAAATTATTTTAGATATAGCCAAGGCTACTATAAAATTGAGACAACATGTTTTAAATGTATAGCACAGATGTTTAACAAGGCAGCAACATATGATAGAACAAGAAAGGCTATTAATATTTGAGGACAGAACAAGAAAGGCTATTAATAATCTGTCATTGCCTCACTGCATAATGATATGAAAGGCTCCAATACAGTGTGGCACAAAGCGCTTATGCGCATCCAGAGCGCAGAATGATGCGCTTGAAGTCACATGGAGTCACAACGCACAGCGTGTCGAGTCCGCATTGAGAAGTTCAAAGCACAAAGGAAATACATACTGATGGACAGTGTATTATACCGCATCTATCTATGCAATAGTTTATTGGGCCTTTTCTTTTAACAGTTTTACATTTCAGTGACTGTGCGCGTGAAGAACGATTATAGTGCTCTGACTCTAGTGTTGTGATCTAACCGACAGCGTCCGACACCCGGTAGAAAGTAACATGATGAAGTTACAGCAATAAAGTCCAGCAAGATAAAGTTGCTTTATGCGAAACCATAGACCTTTATCTACAGAACAAGTATAATAGTATTAACATTGAATCATCTTGAAGATAGTTTCATCATTGACTAACCGAACGAAACATTCTTGAACGCTGAATGGAGAATGACTGACAGCCGCAGCAGAGGGAAAAGTTTAGGTGATCTTCATTTCTATATCACAGAAGGGCTTCAGAACACTTATAATACAGTACACGAAAACTTTATGGTACTTTAGAAAGTTTTTGTGCCTTTTGTTGGGCTTAACAATAACACAGAAAAGTATATGCACAATATCGGATTTCACTTCCATAACTTTTTTCACTTCTACAATAATCTGATAAGTATTCAAGATTTATAACAATTTAAGATTAAAAAGAGGTCAAGAACAGATTAATGTGCAGGTGTTGTGAAATTTTCAGACATTTTTTGTGAGTTGCCCTTCGTGTATAAGTACCAAATACTATAATACAATATAGTGAATGATACCAAACAAGGATTATTATGCGTCTTTTATGGATTAACCTTTTCATCAAGAGAACGCTAACCTTGTCTCTACAAAGGCTAGGCTCCTCACAAAAGATCACGTTAGTTCTAAACTACATTGTACTGTTACAAACCAGCTTGGCCTCTCTCTCATTCTCGTGTGAGTAAGCGAGCCCTCTCTCGTTTGTATCATAGCCAAATAGGTTTGTTTACTTATGCAGCAGCTGTATTGCCATGTTGTTCCAGTGAAGGTGGGAGTTCTGAAGATACCTCTTACGGAACAAGCTCTGTTTGCCTGACTGTGGTGGCAGCTGTAGTAGGACTGGCTCTTGTGGTTGTAATTAATGACTGGCGCTGACTCCTTTTGAGCACCAGGCAAGATTCATTACCGAGCTGCCACAACTCAGCCATGACAATTTGGAACCGGTCTCTTCAAAACAATGCTCTTTCCACAGACTCAAGCCTAGCCGTCCAAGTGATCCCTCAGACCCTGCCCTCAGGAGAAGCAGACCTGCAGGAAACTAATGTTCATTAATGAGCTGAGAGCTAAACTCAGTGATGGGCCACTGAAAGAAAGGATTGTCACAAGAAAATTCCAGCCATATACGTGATTGGACTTAAAATGACGTGAAATATTTTGTAGTTGTAGAGTTTTGATGGAATGCTAATTCTGGTGGTTCTGTGCTCGTGGGCCTCGCATTGACCCTCAGCTAACTGAAGAGTTTTTAATGCAGATGAAGCATTTTCAAGGTTAACTTATTCTCAATGACTACATTTAAGACATTCAGCTTTTAGAGTAAGTTCCAAAAGACTGGAGGCCTTATGATGTGGCGCATGTTCAAAAACGAATATAATATACTTACCTTTGCATTTTCCATTACTTTAAAGGAGAGGTTGTGTCTGGATTTAAGAATAGCCTAAGGATCTGTCTTTGTATCCTTTTTAAATGTTGTGCATCACGGTTGCTTTCATGTAGTAGGCCTACCTCTGAGCATTTGGAATGAAACAAACACTTCTTAGAAGATATTATCATAGGGCTGTTAGAAAATGTTGATACATGACACGTGAAAATAGGGATACCGTATTATGTTTGGCGATTACTGTAAAAACACTGTATCGATATTTATTTATTTGTTTACACAGGGCTCCAGACTAACATTTGAGAGCAGTGGCACCATTGCCACTATAGGTTCTACAGATAGTGGGACTAGTACCTGATCTGGTAGTGCTGCGGGGGTGGGGGGATTTTTATTTCTAATATTGCATGTTTATTTATTTTTGTAAATATTTTTGGTCATTACATTAAAAATAATAATCAAATTAAATAATATTTAGAGCTTTGAAGTAGGTATGTTAGATGGGTAAATTTAGATTTTCACTGTATAACAGTCTCAGAAAATAACATGGTATACAGTATTAAACAATCAATTATTATCATCAGTTAATATATTACAAAATAACTATTAAATTAATAAAAACTAGTTTTTACATTTTCTATATTATAAATTTAAACCATTTGTTTAATTTGTTTGTTTAAATTTCATTAATCAAAAATATGCCTGTAATCCATTAAATTGAATAATTGATTATGGATTAGATAAACATTTTATTTTTTATCATTAATAATATTTTTTGGAAAGAATAATAGAGTCCTATGAAATGTATTTTATTCATCAAAGTTTTCTCTTTATGGTTTAATGCAAATATATTATAAAAAGCAGTGATGTACCGTGACTACAGTAAGTGTTACTACATTAAATCTATGGTGAACGTTGGTGATTTGTGGACTGAAAAGCCTACTACAACTTATTCTTTGAAGCTGCAGTCCTTAGCTCTTTTTGGGTTAAAAATGATCCAAAATACATATTTGAGAAAATACATAACCAGCCAGTGTTCAAAACTCTCTGCTTGCCTTAGCTTGATTAAAAGCAGTAAGCTTGTACTCTGGCAAATTCAAATGGTTTCTCACTGGATTGAAACAAAAATAAAGAAGTGTGAAGTCCGCACACTGAAAAGGTACTGCTCCAAAAATTGATTAAAAAAGCAACGTTTCGACCCTCAGGTCTTCATCAGACACCTTCTTTATTTTTGTTTACTTCATTCAGTTGTCCTGCACCTGAGCCCAATTTGGGTGTTTGGGATGTGCACACCAATTTTGTATATTTTTTTGTTCTCACTGGATTTCACAGCACTGTGTACTGGTGTTAGGTGATCAAGATCGACCCATAAGTAAACCTGTTTACCTGTGCTGTCTAATATTGGTCTGAGCTGATAAACTGTCAATGCTGCGCAGCTCAAATAAGAAGCATGGTTTCATTTCACTTTAGTTTCATTTGATGTTTGTTGCCATTTGATGTTTTTTCATATGCAACAGAAATGGCTGCTCTCATCATTTGGGCAACATGGTGGCTGAACCAGTGTGACCTCTAACTAAATTGAGTCACACCGGCAAGAAAAAAGGTCGCAAAATGCAGCCATTTGGTCGCTGTCTGGAGAATGGTTACATCAATATTCATGGCAGTGGCTTTGTGTTTGGTTAAAACCCCAACATGTTTACAGTATCGCAATGTATCGTATCGTAACTCCTGTATTCATGATGCGCATCTTATCAAAGCCTTGGCCTTAATTGAACTCTAAAGAATGTAGGTGAATTTAAACTTAAATATTTCATTGACGTGGTTTACTGTAATGAAATGAGGAGTAAGTGGGCAGTGAACTGACAAGGGTTGTTACATTTGGAATTCTTTCTACATCGTTACCTTTTACTGCCCTCTGAAGCAAATCTGTCTGCGTATTTATGACTTTTCTGTAGATGTGGATTCAGTATGTCTGAGGCCAAAAGTGAGTTTGCTCGCAGAACTCTGCAAACGTTGGGCTCAAAACGGGAACCTATTAAACACCTGGTTGACCCTCCTGCCATAGATCTACAGCAGATCCAAAGGAGCTTACTAAGTTCAGCATGTTGAATGCCAGTGGAAAAATTACTGTTAGGCCAAATATTTTCAACATGGCAACAACTATTTACCATCTTATCTTTCTTTTATTACCAAACAACTTATTTTTGCAATTTGAATGGCAAAAGCTACCAGATGAAAGCCCCTCACAACAATTTTACTTGGTGGAAACGAAAGCAGCCGTGAAGACATCAGATGATCAGAGAAAAGAATGTTGTTTCAGTGGCAGACCTTTTTTTCTTTGGAATAGTGTGTACATTAATTCTGGGCTAAGACCACATTTATTAAGAAAAGGACCCTGATCTT